TGCTGCGGCTGCTGCTGCGGCAGGGCGTCGAAGCAGTGCTGCAGCAGCTAGTGCGCCCAGATGGGACCCAGCGGGCTGTTGTACGTACACCGCAGCTGCTGCTGCTGCGCCCCACACGCAGCAGCAGCAGCAGCTGCGGTGTACCTACACCTCAGGGCCTCACGCTGCAGCAATGCTGCATGCAGGTTTAGTTCACTTCTTTGTCTTTTGTCCTCAAGGGACGCAAACGCTCGTCAGCGGCTTTTTTTGTTCAACAGGTCACCCCAATTTCCAGTTGTTTTCCCAAATTGAGGGTTTAGGGTTTAGGGTTTAGGGTTTAGGGTTTCTGCTGAGCGAGGCGCGGGCTACGGAAGCCTGGTGGAAGGTTGGGAACGGCTCTATCGAAGTTGAGCTCTGATGCATAGGGTTTAGGGTTTGGAGCTGTTGTGTCTAGGAATTAGGGTTTGGAGCTTCCAGTGTCTTCGGTTTAGGGTTTAGGGTTTGGGGCTGTTACTTTGCTTTGGAGCTGTAATGCCGAGGGTTTAGTGTTTAGGGTTTGGAGGTGTATATAGGGTTTAGGGTTCAGGGTTTGGAGCGGGTAATGTACAGGGTTTAGAGTTTAGGGTTTGGAACTGTAATGTATAGGGGTTGGGGTTTAGGGTTTGGAGTGGTACTGTCTAGGGTTTAGGGTTTAGCGTTTGGAGCTGTCATGCTAGGGTCTAGGGTTTAGGGCCCAGTGCTGAGGGTTTAGGGTTTATGGCATCTTCACCACTTAGCGCTTTTGGAGGCTGGAGGCCCTGAGGGTTTAGGGTTTGGAGTTAATAGACTTCCGTATCCCTTCGTTTCCAGACGAGGGTTTAAGGTTTAGGGTTTAGGGTTTAAGGTTTAGGGTTTAGGGTTAAGGGTTTTCGCACAAAGCACTCTTGCATCTGAGAACGCTGGCTCATAATTTTTTTTCCTTTTTTTATATTCGTGAAAGAAGTCACCAAGCAAATATAAATGAAGATAAAATTCTATAAATATATTCATACATTATATACATATGTGTATGGGTATATATATATCTATATATATATGTACATATATATATATATATAGCCACATATACAAATATATACATGGATATATACATATGTACATATATATAAATATAGGAATTTATATATATATATATATATATATATAGATATAGATATATGGGTATATATATATATATACATATCTATGTATACACATATATATATATATATATCTGTACATCTACATGTCTATATACCAATATGTCTGTGCAGATATATAGAAATGTATATTTGTATATATGTATGTGCGTATATGTAGATAAACTTAAATATGAGTATATAATATCTGCATAGCTCTATACATGCATATCTGCATATATATCTATATAAATCTGAATATCTGAATATCTATATATCTATATTTATGTATATATATATATTTATATATCTATACACATCTAAATATCTATATATCTATATACCTATATATGTATATGTATATATCTATATATCTATATATCTATATGTATATGTATATGTATATATCTATATATCTATATATCTATATGTATATGTATGTATTTATATGTCTATCTATATCTATATCTATATATCTATATCTATATCTATATCTATATATCTATATCTATATCTATATCTATATCTATATCTATATCTATATCTATATCTATATCTATATCTATATCTATATCTATATCTATATCTATATCTATATCTATATCTATATCTATATCTATATCTATATCTATATCTATATCTATATCTATATCTATATCTATATCTATATCTATATCTATATCTATATCTATATCTATATCTATATCTATATCTATATCTATATCTATATCTATATCTATATCTATATCTATATCTATATCTATATCTATATCTATATCTATATCTATATCTATATCTATATCTATATCTATATCTATATCTATATCTATATCTATATCTATATCTATATCTATATCTATATCTATATCTATATCTATATCTATATCTATATCTATATCTATATCTATATCTATATCTATATCTATATCTATATCTATATCTATATCTATATCTATATCTATATCTATATCTATATCTATATCTATATCTATATCTATATCTATATCTATATCTATATCTATATCTATATCTATATCTATATATCTATCTATATTTATATTTATAAACATATATTTATTATCTATATCTAAATATATGTATATATTTATATTTATTACGTATATCTATATTTGTATTTATAAATACATATATCTATGTGTATATAACTAGATATATATATATTTGTATCTGTATATACACACACATGTGTATAGATATGTAGAACTACTTCGGGTGTACGTACACATCCTGCCACATATATATCTTTTTAATTATCTTTTCCTTCTCTCTGATCCGTCACTACCAAATAAGCCTTTATGAGCATCTTTCGGGGATTAATAATGCATTTTAAATTTAAAATAACTCTTTTTGAAAAGAATTCAACTTTAACTGTTTAGTTCTTGTTTAGTTTCAGGTGTATGGACAGGACCCGCTGCCCGGGACACACGGGAATGCAGAGTAACGAAAATGAGGCGTAAAAGGATCAAATTTGAAATAATAAATTTTGAAAAATAAAAAAAAATAAATTAAATTAAATTAAATATAAAAGGAACAGGAAAGAAATGGGAAAGTGGAATTCCGAATCGAGGCCGCATGGTCAAGCGAGCGACCGGTGGTGCGGCGGCGGTCCTGCCGGCGAATCTGAGTTTGTTGGATTATTTTTTTGCATTTTTTGAATTAAATCAAATTAAACGAAAATAAAAAAGAAATAAAAGGCATTTAAAAAGGAAAAAGTCGAAAGTGGTGGGCGTGTGCAGCCGGTGGCAGCGCGCGCTGCCACCGCTGGCCATCGACATGCTTCCCGCGCCCCCCTTCGCTGGCTCTGGGGAATCGGGCTTTTCGAATTTGTTTTCGCATTTCAAATGAAATAAACGAAAGGTAAAACGGTGAAAAGGTATTTTGGGTGAAAAGCGCTATCATTGGTCTCTGTGGCAAGTGCCTTGGTGCCCGCAGCCGTCCGCTAGCCGCCGCGGGAGATTTGGGAGTTCTGGGGTCAAATTGGACCCTTTTGGGTTTTTTGAAGCGCCAAATAGAACTAAATTGCATTTAATAAACATGTGGGCTCAAAAAGAACTCAGCCGGACCAGTTTGGTGGGCGAAACGGCGGAGAACGGCTCGGTGGCGCTGCGGAGCCCGCGCGCGCAGGGCTCAGGTGTATGTACACCCCGCTCCGAAGCCAACTTGAACGCCAACTTCGTCCAGGGACAGTTCAAAGGTCAGTTTATTTCTTTTGGAGACTTTGTGGACTTCAGTGCCCATTCGCAGGGCGGGGGCCCCTGGGGGGCCCCCACTTTCCAGCATTCTTTCCAGTCTTCGAAGCCCAACGTCCGCATCACTGTTACCCACAAACAGGGGGCCCCCATTCAGTACCTTTTCAGCAGCAACGGCAAGGGGGGCATTCAGCAGATCCGGGGGCCCCCCAAGGGCCTCTAGCTGCTGCAGCAGCCGCTGCAGCGCAGCAGCAGCGGCTGCTGCTGCTGCGCTGCTGCACCTCATGTTCAGCCGCTTGACTCTGCACCAAATGAAGTTTAAACAGCTGCAGCTGCAGCAGACACAGGCCACCTGCTGGCCGTAGGGCAGCAGCTGCTTCACAGCTCCGAAGCAGCAACTTGTGCTGCTGCAGCAGCAGCTGCAGCAGCAGCAGCAGCATGAGCTGCTGCTCCTGCTAAGGGAAACACAATGCATGCAGTCAATTCTAAAGCTCCCCCACAACTCACAGTGTACAAATTGGTTGTTTGATATTGGCGCCGGGGGCAGCAGCAGCAGCAGCAGCCCCTGCAGCAGCAGCAGCAGCAGCAGCTGCTGCTGCTGCTGCAGCTTGAGACCCTCTTCCAACCGGCGTATCCACGGCTGGCCAATGGCACAACTTGGTTTTTTTAAGTGAAAAAAGAAAGCTTCCGGGTTTTAGGGTTTACGGTTTAGGGTTCAGGGTTTAGGGTTTAGGGTTTAGGGTTTAATGTAGACACTGGGGGTTTGTTTGGGAAGTTATGAATTAAATGAAAAATCGAATTTTTAAAAGCGAAGCAAAGAAGCAGCAGAAGTTGAATTTAATAAATTGAAAATGAATAAATTTGATTTTAATTTAATTGGCCAATTAGTTCAAAGTAAATAAAAAGTAATTAAAAAAGGAAAGAAAGGAAAAGCAGTTAAAGAAGAAACGAAAAGAAAAACAGTTGAAGAGAAGTTAAGAGAAAAGGAATTGGAAAGGGACAAAAAGAGAACCAGTTAAGAGCAAATAAAAAGAATTAGAAAAACAAAACAAAGGAGTTAAAGAGATACAAAAGGACTTACAGAATAAGGCTAAAAGGAATCAGAAAAATAATGAATTAAGGAGTAGAAAACTAAAAGAATTAACGAGAAGGAGGAAATTGAAAGAATAGAAGAGAAAAATAATTTAAGAGAAGTAAAAAAGAGATGGAAAATTAAAACGGAAATTGCGTTTGCCGGGAATCGAACCCGGGTCGCCTCGATGGCAACGAGGCATTCTACCACTAGACCACAAACGCGAAGTGTAGTGTTTGCGTTCAGGTCAAAACTGGAATTTCTTTGAAATTACCTCTCCAGTCCTCGCGAAAAGGTCCATTTAAAGGATTTAAAGAATATACTTTGCATTTTATTCATCAAATTGGTCTAAAACGCTTTTAAATGCACTTTTTTCCATCCATGTTTGAGGCTTTTTGGTACTATTGAACTCAAATTTCACCCCGGGGGGAAAAACAAAGAAAAACCATTTTTCCTTCTAAAAGCTCTCCAGGAACTTTTCTCTAATTGCATTTAGAATAGATCTAGTATTTTTCAATAGATATCTCTAGTCTTCTTGTCTAAATATGTACAAACATATAGATAATATATAATATATATATATGTATATATCCATATATATATGTACTTGAATATATATATATGTATATATATATATTATATATATATGTTTGTTGTAAAAACTAAGTATTCCGAACACTCTAAATATCGTAAATATGCAAATATTGTGGAGTTCCCAATAAGATAGAAACACGAACATTTGTAGAATCTGGAAGAAAAAGACCTAGCCGTTCTCAGTGCATGCAATTGAATTTGGATTCTTTGAAAATTGAATTTGGAAAAAGAAAAGTGGAAAACGAAAGAAGAAAAGGCGGCAAGTGCTGGGGTGTACGTACAGCTGGTGGGGCTGCGGTGTACATACACCTGGGGCTGCCTGCCGCGTGCGGGAAAAGTGGAAGAGTCGAAAGTTGAGAAATACAAATCAAATTTTGATGATTTTTGGACCCAAATGGACCAAAAAGAAGCAGGAATAAACCAAATGGACTAAAAGGAGGAAGAAATAAATCAAATGGATCAAAAAGAAGCAAAAATGAGCTCAAAAGACTAAACAGAAGCCGAAATAAACCAACGAGGGGCCAATTCTCGCAGCCACGCCCCCTCTATTGCTGTTACAAAACGCATGTACTTCTGAGAGGTCCACACGAGCTCCGTGAAGACCACCCACCTGCAGCACCCGCAGACTAAATAAATAAGTAAATAAATAAATAAATAAATAATAAGTAATAAATAAATAAATGAATGAATGAATAAATAAATGACAAGTTGTTGATTAATTATGTGCTTCACTGGTGAATTGGGGATTTACTAATGATGTAATTAACTGATGAATTGGCTAGCTAGCTAGCTAGCTAGCCCAAGTATCTAGCTAGCTAGCCAGCTAGCTAGCTAGCTAGCTAGCCCAAGTATCTAGCTAGCTAGCCAGCTAGCTAGCTAGCTAGCTAGCCCAAGTAGCTAGCTAGCTAATCAGCTATTCTTATAGGACCTTAAGTTTCTGACTTGAAAGATTATTCAAAAAAGAGAAACACTAGAAGAAATGAAAGTCAAGAAAGACAAAAAGAGACAAAAAGAGGATAGAAGAGAAAGAGGAGAAAAATGAAACAAAGACAAAAGGCAGTGGCTTTACCTAAACCCTAAACCCTAAACCCTAAACCCTAAACCCTAAACCCTTACTGCGGAAGCTTGGTGGCATTGCAGACGACACTGGTTGGGTGAATTTTTGCTGTTTGGCGGTGCACCTACGAAATAAGTTCATCAACAAATAAGCCTGCTGCTGCTGCTGCAGCAGCAGCAGCTGCTGCTGCTGCTGTTGCTGATGTTGCCGCTGCTGCTGCAATTGCTGCTGCTGCTACTGTTGCCGATGGTGCTGCTCATGCTGCTGCTCTCGATGGTGCCGCTGCTGCTGCTTCTGCAACTACTGCTGCTGCTGCTGCTGCTGCTGCTGCTGTGGATCTGTGGGGTATGTGGCTGCACTCACCACTGTGATGTACTGACGGGAATCTGCCTGCAGCTTTGCTGCTTGCTGCCAGCAGCTTTTAGCAAGACACCGCTTAAGGTCCAGCGCCTGCTGCTGCTGCTGCTGCTGCAGCAGCTGCAGCGCGGGGTCTGTATATCCCAAGCCCCGCAATCCCTGCTGCAGCTGCTCCCGAATCAATTTGGCCCTCAGCAGCGCCGAGTGCTGCAGTCCTGTCTCGCGGCAAAACGCGCGCTGGTCTTCTGCCTGCATGCAAACCCTAAACCCTAGACCCTAGACCCTAAACCCTAAACCCTAAACCCTACACGCTGAGACGAGTACGCGGCGGGGAGAGGGGTCCAAAATGTCCTCTGGGTCAGCCAAAAAGGTGCAGAACGAAGCGGCCCGGTGAACGCGGCGTTTAGGGTTTAGGGTTTAGGGTTTGGGGTTTAGGGTTTAGGGTTTACCCGTGCCCAGCAGTTGTAGGCGCCAACCAAGGTGAGGTGATCGCTGGTGGGATCTGTAAATTGTTTTCTGGCTTTGCTTAGAGCTGCGGCCTTTCCACCTAAACCCCCACGCATGCAGCCCCAAACCTAGGGTTTAGGGTTTAGGGTTTGGGGTTTAGGGTTTGGGGTGTGCAGGGAGGTCGACGGAGAGCCAGTGCGGCCCAACGAAGGCACGAAGAAGCGCCGCGGCCCCGCCCCCCAAGGCTCTAGTGTTTAGGGTTTAGGGTTTAGGGTTTGGGGTTTAGGGTTTAGGGCTCACGGGACAAGGCAAAAGGCGTGGCCCACACGTTTTCTGCAGAAAGCACCGCCACTAAAGTCAGGGCCTCTTCCAAACAATTCAAAGAAGTTGCTGACAGCAGCAAAGCCCCAAGAACTGGCGGCAGCGGCAGCGCCGTTAGCTGCCGCCTGCGCAAAACGCATGCATGCATGCATGCATGCACGCACGCAGCAGCAGCGGCAGCAGCAGCAGCAGCAGCCGTTCTGCCAAGCAGCGCCGCAGCGCATGCAGAGGGGCTGCTGCCGCAGCTGCAGCTGCAGCAACAGCAGCAGGCCCGCTGCAGCAGCAGCAGCAGCAGGCCCACAGCAGCAGCAGCAGCAGCAGCAGCAGCACCCCAGTTTGGTGAGTTCTCCCTTTTCGTCAATGGCTTCCAGGCGGTACAAATTTCTCCCAGCAGCAGCAAATGCCTCTTTTGGCGGAGCGTCAAGAAAAGGAAACTCCAGAGGATTCGAAACCCCAAGCACCTGCACAAAAGCCACAACAGACCCGCTTGCATGCATGCAAATGCATGCATGCAAGCGCATGCATGCAAGCGCATGCATGCAAATACACGCATGCATGTGTATGCATGCACGCGTCTGCGTGCATGAAAATGTACTTATGCAAATGCATGCATGCAAAGGCGTCCATGCAGGCATATGCAAGCGCATGCATGCACGTGCAAATGCATGCATGCATGCATGCAAACGCATGCATGCATGCATGCATTTGCATGCATGCGTGCATGCGTGTTGGGGCTGGAGGCACCTTGAGCTGGAGAAATAGCTGCGAAAGGTCGCAAGAAAGAATATCGGGTTTTCTGTGGGGCGCCATTTGCCGGTAACACTCCTCCGTGTACAGACGGTAAACAGTTCCTGCAAGCAGCAGCAGCAGCAGCAGCAGCAG